ATAAATATGTATTCAATTCGATATATATATAGTATTTTTTTTTTTAATTTTATGAAGAAGAAAGAAAAACGAAAAAAGAAAAAATAATATTTTAAATGGCAAAATGCAATATTTATATATAGAAAATTTGTTTGATTAATATTAATATTTACACACAAAGAAACAATAACATAATGTTATAATATGTAGTAAATGTAGGCAAATTGTCACAYAAATTTACTTGTATTTGATGCACACTACGCTTAAACTATCGTTAACGGCTTCGTATCTAATTGCAGTTGCGTTTACAAGCTCTATCGATAAAAGTTTTGAAATAATGAACTCTTCCATTCGCATTTTTTTCCCAATGAGTTCGTAAAGCAGTTTCAATGCATTGCTAAAAGGATTAATTCAAATACTTGGTAAAGGAAATACAACATTAATAAAAAAGTCACGCTCATTAATTATTGAATCGCATATTAGTAAACCATATGGAATTATTTATAAAATATTAGATTGTCAAAAAAGTCTTGCGGCAATTTTGGGGTATTTTTATAGAATTTTCAATTGTTCATACAATTTTTGTTTGATGACTCATGACCAGCTCTTGACCGATGCTGCTACTATGCCGGTCTCTTTCGACCAATTCCGCGATTTTTTCGCAATTTCGACGACAGGCCTTCTGGAGCGCGGCGCATCTTCGACCACCTCTACACCAGAACGAAAACGTTGAAATCATCATTGTGCGGTGGAAATGGAAACTGTACCGGGTCCATAAACTGCACGAATTTTATTGGCGACTTGAGATGCATTTTTGCCTTTATAGTAGCAGTACTGTAAAATAAGCCGTATTTTCTCTTTATTTTGCTCCGTGTTTGGGACGCTATAACTCACGAACGACTTAAAAGAAACGACAATCAATCAAACATGTGTTAGCGCGTGAAATTAGCTTTCCAAAAAGGTATAGCATGACCCGATGCGACGAATAAAATTAGAATTACGCGCTCTCAGCGCCAGCTAGCGAAAATACCGCAAGACTTTTTTGACAACCTATTATATAAAATGTATGTATGTATATTTATATATATACTACTGTGGATAAAAAATAGTAAGACTTTTTAATTTTAAATTTCTAAATATTTTTTCTAGTTTGTTATGACCGGTCTTACACCAAGTATCCTCTGGGTAGACAAAGAACATCCGTTTGAAGGCGACCTAAAGTTAGAAGGCGAAGCATACCTCCACAAGGTTGTGCGATGGGTTTGGGAAGCGGCAAAAAAAATGCCCCCAATGAAAAGTAAACTCCAGCCTCGGAGTATACTTTGGGCTATAATCGCGAAAATGGGGTCTATGCCAGTCAGTACTGGGATGTATGCACTTGTCTTTTTGAAGTACATGAAGTGCATAACCCGATGTTTACGTTGAGGGAAATTATTCAACAAAGAAATTCCATTCAATTTTGTGCGGGGAATCAATTTTGAATGTTGAAAAAGGCTTTCAGTGATAATTTTTTGTTTCGAGGAAGTGTAATAAACCATTTTGAAAGACCATTTGGTTCTAGGAAAAATTAAAACACGATTGGTTCCAAAATCACAAATTTTTTCGAAAAACAGCGTCGCGTTAACATCTGTAAAATAATGCTCTCCGACTACCAGGATGCCATGAAACGTATTATTAATGGTGATGAGTCCTGGATCTATGCGGATGACCCGGAAACAGACGATCAAGCGGCCGAACATAGGGACAAAGGTGACCAGAAGCCGAAAAAAAACCGTCAAAGCAGGTCAATAATCGAGGCTATGTTGGCAGTTTTCTTCGATTCTCGAGCCAATTGAAGATATTGAACCTGACTTTACCGGAAATTGACTTTAACAACAGTTTTGAGGATTGGTAAAAACGTTGGCACAAGTGTTGGGGCCAAGATGGGTTACTTTGAGGGGGACGACATMGATTGGAAGAATAAATTATTAATTTTAATTATTAAATTATGAACAAAGTCTTACTATTTTTTGCTTTCAGTAAAATTTAAAAAGTCAATAACTATGTAACTATAACTATATTCGTGCAGTTTGCCAAGATATGACTTAACTTGATTATTATTAATTTATTCCATTAGTCCAAATATGAGTTGGGGAGTTACAGTCCTTGTGCCTCTTTTATAATTTCATTTTTTTTTTTTTTGTTGAAGTGGAAACAACAAACTTAATGTCTGAAAACGTTTTTTCTTAAGGGAATTTGTATTCATGACTTTAATTTGAAGAAAACTATAGGCGAAAGTCAACAWATATTGAGGGAAGTTTATGATGGTCTAAGCGAGCAAACGTGTGAAAAGGGCAGCACAATTTTAAAGTAATGTTTTTGGCTGGGCAGACGGAGAACTTCCAGGGCGGCTAAAAGAGATTAAGATGATGAATAGGAGGAATTACTTGATGAAGCTTGTTGCCCAGCAGAAAAATTACTAGTAGTATCAGTCTGAGCCACTCAAGCAACCATTTTAAAATGATTAAAGGCAGACGGATACATTCAAAGGCAAGCAAAAAGGGTGCCTTATAAACTGACACCAAGGGAGCTTGATTGACGATTTCGAATGTGAAAAATACGGCTTCAACGCTGCATAAATAAGTCTTTTAGCATCGGATTGTGACTGGTGATGAAATATTTRTCTATTATGACAACCTGCCAATCGAACAGCGAAAAAATCATATGYGAAACTTGGCCAACCATTCTAATTTATGCCAAAGCCAGTTATAACACCAAGGTAATGATCTGTATTTGATGGAGTCATAAGGTCGTGCTGYATTATGACTTTTTAAAACCGGTAAAACCGGGTGTAACTATTAATGCAGAATGTTACCGACAATCAGTCAGCAAATGGAAACGAGCGATTGCCGAAAAAGCCTCGTGATTACCAACTGGCACGAGGCAATAATTTTTCCATCATGACAAGCTCAGGCGCCATGCTGGAAGATCGGTTAAAGTCCATTTAAAAACAGCGTGAGGAATATTTTGCCTTACCATTGCCAGAAAGTTTTTTAATTTCAGATGGGCAATACTGAATAATACTATTGTAAGGCACGAATATAGTTATAGACAGAATAAGATGAACTAATAGAAGTKAATGCCACTTATAAATACAAAATCCCATTCATAAACGATTATAATTATATATAGTGAGGTTATAAGTTAAGAACACCAYAATATTCAAAGTAAGAATTTTCCAACCGTTCCTTATGTATGAATAATTATAACCTGAACGGGGTGTAATTAGTTTGCCACGAAGTTTGTAACATTCGTAAGGAAATTTCGGAGACCCTYTAAAATACATATATACATAATTGAWAGGCGTGACGAGCTGAGACGATTTAGTCATCTATCTATGCTTTCGACTGTTCRTCTGTCTGTCTGTACATACGGGAACTAGTCCCTAAGTTTTTGAGATATTGATCTGAAATTTTGCTCACTACGTGTTCAAGAAGCTGCTCATTTGTCGGAATCACCGATATCAGACTACTATAGCATATAGCTGTCATACGAACTGAACGATCAGAATTAAGTGCTAATCTTTCGTATTTGTGAAGGATGGTATATCTTTGATGCAATCGAAGTTGAAGTTTCTCTTGTTTTTTAATTTCATCCGATTTTTTGTTAAAGTGAAACGTTGAACATATTTTACTAGCATTTAATAGTAATATCTGACACTGATTTCTAATGCGATAGAAAGAAAAATCGAAGCTTGACATAATTTGTAAATTTCTTTTTTAAGACACACCTGACAGAAGTCATCATAGGTGTTTGTATTAAGCACAATGTTTCTGTTCTGTGCTGATTGGTTAAAGCCCAATAGGGGAAATGATAGTTGTCTCCCGTATTGATCACTAAACTATACTTCAATTGAATTACTGGCGTTCATCCTATGCAGATTTTCTGAGTTTGCAAAATAGGTTTGGAATCATATATAAAAATAAGTGCGTTTAGAAACTTTCGGCGGCGTTATGAATTGCCTCTTTTTATGGTTCTAAGAATACAATGGAATTTCAAGTATATAAAAGTCTGGGATAAGCGGTGTTGGAACGTTGAAAATGCTAAAAGTATTCAAAGAAATAACATTATTGCTTCATATTTATTATCCAACTACCAAAAAATAGTACAAAAGTTGAATTCAAATGGTGAATATTGTCATGCCAAAAATAGTTAGTGATAATGAGTTTGACTATTACCTGATTGCCCGTGAAACGTTATTTTGAAAGGAACTTAAATAGTGGACACTTAATAAATATTAAATATTACATAAACATACATATATGTATAAATATATACTGTGTTACGTATTTAAAATACGTTTATGCAAGAATCCAAAGCTACAAAAGTAAAACTTATATACTATTTACTATACATACATACATACATACATATTGAAAAGTAGGTACCCAACTATGTGTACTATAATTCGAAGACTAAACATATGTATATTATACAGGGGCATAATTTAATTTAATAAACGCATGTATTTGAAACTGTGTGCCTGTTAAATTGTGTGTGTCTATTTTTTCACAAGTCGATTTCATTTTTGAAAACGCCAACGTTTTAGTTTGAGCCCTAAAAAATTATGCAATGTACTCTTTATCAT